AATAGTATCACCCATACCAAAATGGTCCAAGTTCAATGAACCTAGCCAAAAATGATTCAGGTGGGGTTGGCATGCAAAAATTGGCATACCAAATCTACTAAAAATTCGCAGATTCCAGTATGCGGTGATTTTGGGCTATTGGGATACTACTTGCTAAAAATCAACTGATTTGGGTCAGTCTAGGCTATATCGCCCATACCAAATATGCCCATAGTTGGAAGATTATTGTATGGGCTAATTTGGGGTTGTTGGGATGCTGCTTGCCAAAAATCAACCGATTTGGGTCAGTCTGCGTTGGAGGATACCGCACCAGTGGTGTTGCCCAAACCAAATCTACCCAGAATCGGTAGATTCCAGTTATGGGGGGATCTACGGGCTCTTGTGATGCTGCATGCAAAAATTTAGGTCAAAACGATATGTTTTAGTATTTTAAATATTTTTTTACTAAAATAAGGTGTTCTACAGGATTTTGGATCACATGGCAAACAATATGGATTATGGTGGTCTATGGTTTGGGGGTTTACTGGGATATTGTGGTCCTAAGGCTGTCTATAGTTAAATAAAACATTGAATTTGCTAGTTTTCAAGATAGGGTGTCAACAGCTGTCACTATTTGGTGCTCCCTGTCATTCAAAGGACATGTGAGTGTTAAAGAAGTAGACATTGGTGACATTTTTATTTACTCCCCGCTTACCCACTTAGGGCATTTTCATCCTAGGGTTTTCGGCATGAGATGTTTCGGTGATTTCCGCAAGCATGAAACTCGAGTTGGATTTGCTGGCCATGTCATTTAACTTCAGAGGTTTTCACTTTTAAACTATTGAATATGATATATATATATATATATATTTTTTTTTAGGGTTTCTTAAGGTATTCTATAAGTTTTATTTGTTTTAAGAAAACGTTTGCCTGGTCAATTCTAAAGAGTGAGATGAGGCGGCAACACAGTAATCATCATATACGAGTGTCCAAGCTCCTTTGTTTTAAAATACGTTTTAGAAATTTTAAAAATAAGGAGAGTTTTAAAATAGAACCAGGAGCTTTGGACAAGTTACGATTTTAACAAAAAAGTTAAAGTTTTTTAAACCAAGACATCTAGTGAATCATTTTGAAAAAATAAAGATATTTTAAAAATAATTTTTTAGTTAGCATTTTTGGCTTCTGCAACCATAAAGTCATCTAAGCAATTTAACGCCTTGCAGTGACGGACATATACACCTGACCCTTTACACCATAGTGGGCTAGACGGATACACTCAACATTTTATGTCATACGGGGCTAGACATTTTTTGAATACACCCGACCTTTAATGTCATACGAGGTTAGACGTTTTCCTATCTTGGTTTTTTTACGTTGCACAAGTTTGACCTTTTTTTTTAATTGTGATTTTGGTCGGCAGTTTAAACTCGTGCCACTAGGGAGTATCTGAAAAGTTTTGAAAATTAATTAAATATTTGAAAACAGTCCTTTTCGTAAGCAAAATGCATAAAAAAACCAACTTTGTCCCCGGAAGGCTTTGGAATTGGAGTAGGGGCTTATTTGTCTAAAAATTTTTGGACGACATGCCTTTTGTCGCCCAATGACTCTGTGTCGCCCAGGCCACCCACCTCCAAAATCACATGACTTGGATTCTAGAGGTTTTTTGGGTTGTCTTATGCTTATTTTTTTGAATTTTTTTGGGTTTTATTTCAAAATTGGATGGTAGTTTAAGCTTGTACCATCGAGGAGATTCTAACATGCTGTTTGAGATAAATTTATTTTAAAATCATTTGAAAAAGAATTTCATAAAGAAAATATACGAAAAAGGATAATTTTTTATCCCAGAACGCCCTGGAACTTGAGCAGGGGCATTTTTGTTCAAAAAAATTTGAGCGTTGCCCAATATTTTTTTTTATCTTATATATATATATTGGTAGGAAAAGGTGGGGCCATAATCACGTGTCCTCCTGGACTGGGTGACCGGGGAGTGTTGTCCAATTTTTGTATTTTGTTATTTTTTTTTTAAAGGGGATGACACATCACTTGTCTTCTGGGGTTGGGTGACACGGGTAGAGAGATATAAAGAGAGTTTATTGGAGAGAGAAATACTTTCAAATTTTGTTAGAGATTTAAGGAAATAGATGATAGATAGAAGGAGAGGACATGAGAGAGATAGTGTGGAGAGAGGGATGTGAGAAAGAAAAAAAGTAAGAGATAAATAGAGAGAGAGAAAGAAAGATAGTGTGGAGAGAGAAAGAGAAAGTGAGATAAGCCGTCTAATGCTTTCTATATTTTGGGGGAGATATTTAAAGAAAGAAGAAAGGGAGAGAGAAATATGGCATTAGGAAGAGGGAGGGATAATAGAGAGAGAGAGAGGACAATTATGGAATAAAAAGGGACACGTAACGCAAAAATAGCGAGGGTGTTCCTCTTGCTTAATATATAATTTTAATTTTCCAAAATGCTTCCACTTCGGACCATCAAAGTTAGAAATGAAAGTATCATTCTTAGCTTCCGATCTTGAATATTTGAAATTAAGGTTTAGAGTGTTTGACTTAAGATCTTGAGGATCTAAAACCACCTAACTTGAAATATTTGAGAAAATGTTGATTTCGGACTTTCAAAATCTGAAGTCAAAACTTGTTTAAATGACTTTAGACTTTAAGGATTTAAAGTCATTCAACAAAACTTGACTGCAGAAGATGAAGGTATGAAGTTACATGTCTGAGTAAACCCTTGCGTTTAGAGCACAAAGGTCCAAAGTCTCAATTAAAAAAGCTTGACTTCTTATCATGAAGGTATGAGGTCACAGTTAAAAACTTGTTCAGAATGGCAATTCGAAGTCATCATTGCTTGGATATTTAATGTCTTAAGAGAAAGCATTTTGAGAAAAATAAGAAATAAAAGTACATATATAAAAAATTCAATTCAAATTTTTGATAACATGGTCGCGGGGGACGAACATAAATTTTCTAGACATAAAACACTAACACAATATCGTTTGTTTTCCCTCTAAATGACTTGTGTGCAGGTGTTGATCTCCCATATCATAATCATAACCCTAAGATGCTCTTGGTATCTAATTGGAAAAAGGCTATGATGATGATGATGTCTAAGATGAGTGTTCGATCAAAACACTCCGTTAATTTTTTAAATTGATTGCAAATCCTCTACAACTACACATTTAGATAATTAGAATGGCAAGTAGGGTAGTTAACTAGCTGGATCAGTCCGGACTCCAGACCTGAGCCAGGCTCAAAACTATAAATTCAGGGCCACACCCCAAATTCATGATAATGAGCCTTGATCCCAACCCAAACCAACCAAAGAAAGAAGAGCACATTTGTCATGAATTCAGTTTGAAACTAGCCTTAGCTCGAAAGCCCCAGAGTGGCATGGGCCCATTAACAACCGTAGCTCAAGTTTGGTAATATACATCTAAACCCAACTATGATTTGATGGAGTAGTCTACCTTGCTCTTAGAAAGAGAATAGAATGATTGGCTGGGCACCATCTCCTTGTATAGAAGTCATTTTTGCCATTTGAATCGAAACCCGACATTCCACACTGTCGAGTTGACATTTTCATGAACCTACAAAATCCACCAAAGCCCATCATATAAAAACCCCGACATTCCACATTCCCCCATATGAAACTACTCCCTTATATAAGGAAAAATATACAATGAGACTGTTTACCTTTGGTACAACGTGGTCCCATTTAATGTTGACTATTAGTTGTGAAATTAAGTGATTGCATTTATTTCATTAATCAAGCTCAAAATTCAATTTTTTTTTTTTTGAACTTTGTAACACACCCAAACTATCAGATTTCTCGATGATTATAAGTAACTGGAAACTCTTTGTACTAAAGGTAAATGGTCTCATTATATATATTCCCATATCTTGACCCTCAAAGGACTGTCTTTGTGTCCATGTTTATATGTCGTCTCCTTTAAAAAAGTGTATTAAAGATGATTTTTTGATGTGGAATTTTTAAGGTGATAATTTTGACCACCACCATGACGGAATATGAAAAAAAATAGTTTTGTAACTATAAAATGATTATTTAAAAAGAATTTAAATGAATAGCTAAAATCTATCTAAAAATAAAGTAATATATTTTTATAATTTAAGGTTCATGGTCGTGAGAGGCAATATGAGGTATTGTGGTGTATTTCATTTTGCAGACGGCATAGTTTTTATCGATGAGACTTAAATCCGCGTCAACACAAAGTTAGAACTTTGGATGGATGCTCTAGAATATAAATGTTTTAAACTTAGATGGACTGAGACAATGTATATGGAATGCACATTTAGTAATAAAAAGGAGTAGAGACGAGGAAATAATTAAGATTGATGACCAAGAAATACCAAAAAGAGCGTATTTTCAATAGCTTGGGTCGATAATAAAAGAAAACGGAGAGATTGAGGAAAATGCCTCACATAAAACTAGAGCTGGGTGGACGACGTGAGGATGTACAACCAGAGTTTTATGTGATCTCTACATGCCAATGAAGCTGAAGGAGAAGTTCTATAGAGTATCTATGATACCAACTTTGTTTTTATAGGGCAAAATGTTGGGCTGTCAAGAAACAATATACCCATTGGATGAGTATAACTGAGACAATGATGTTTATATGGATGAGTAACAAGATGGGAAAAGATATAATTTGAAATAAATACATTCAATAAAGCTTAGGTACGACTTTAATAGGTGATAAGATGGTAGAAAATAGATATAGGTAGGTAGGCCATATATAGTATTGACCCACTGTAACATATATTAGGAGGTGTAAGCTTGGATGTAAGTAGAAGGTATTTGATAGAGCAGAATGATGAATCATGATTCGTGCAGCCACTCCCAAATGTGAGAGTCAAGATTATTGACATATTATATTTAAAGAGAAATTTTGAAGGAACCCGCACATGAATAAAGTGCGTATGCGGACGCACCAAAATGCGTTCCCCTTCCAAAATCCAATCCCTCCTACAGTTTTTCATCGACTCTCTCTTCAAAATTCCCTCCTAAACCTTCAAATTCCCTTATTCTATTTACGTCTCTCCCTCCCTCTCTCCCTCAAAACTCTCCACCTGCAACTCTCATGGAGCAACTTATCTCTACTCTACACCAAACTTCCAACTGTGCAGGCCTCTCCGATCGCTTCTATGAATACCTCAAGCCCCTCCTCTCTCTCTCTGAATCCAATCCCTCACATCTTCGCCCTCTGGCGAAGTGCTTCGTATCCTCTCTCTCCCGACTGCTAAAAGTTTTACCTGAAACCCTTAAAACGTGCCCATCTCCTATCACATGTGAAACCCTAGCCTGGTCCAAAGAGCTCTTCAAAATCTATGAGATGACAATTACTTGCATTTCACGAATTTTGCCCTGTCTTGATTGGAAGCCCTATGGTCTCGATCAACAAAGGCTTCTCCTTGCTCGAAGACGCCAGATATGGGGTTATTATAATGAAGCTAAGGTTCTATGTTATCAAGTTTTAGAGGGATTGCAACCTGGTGTTACTCGGGATTTATGTCGGGATGAAGTTGGGGCTTGCTTGCTCCCGGATGAGGTGGAGAAGCACGAATCAGGGCTCGCATCTTTGATTGTCGAAACTGTTTTCTGTATTGTGAATTGTATGTATGAAAGCAAGTGTGTAGATAGTGCGGCTTATAGGCAGATCCTGTCTCTTATTAATCTGGTCAGGCCTTGGTTGAGGTAAGAAGCATCTATGGTCTGAATCTTATGTTTACTTACTGATTGATGCTAAGGCTAGCTGCTGGTTCCTATCTTTGATTTTTGGGCGTTAGAATGACATTCTCATTTATGCATCTCTGATTTTGTAGCTCTGTATGCATCAATATCTGAAATCTGTTTACCTAAATAATTTACTGTGTGATCGCAATGATTCAATCACATAACCATCGGTGGTTACCTTTGATTTTAGAGCATTAGCTGGCAACACCGATATCTTGTATTTTAGGGGACACATTTCTGCTTTTTGTCTATATCCTGCATCTGTATCTGGCATTTGTTGGAGACATAATTAACTTTATCACATACATATATGTGATTATCTTTGATTTTAGCAAATATGGAGGCAACAACTAGATCTTGGAATTTAGGATTCATGCACATTTTGGTTTTGTATCTATCCTGCATCTGTATCTACTGTTTATTAGAGACATAATTAATCTGTGTGGTTGGACTTGGCTGCTTGGAAGCAACGATGGAACAAAATGGCTATATATTTCTGATTTACTTAACTGCTGGTTCATGCCTGTACCAAATACGTTTCTGTTAATGTTGAAGGGCTTCCTATATATCCATGCTTCCCTTTGTTTCTCAAATGGAGCTGGACATTGCATACTCCCCTGAGTCCAAAAAAACAGAATAATTGATGGTTCCTGTTGCCTCGGTTGTTGGGGAATGTGAGTGGTGTGATGGTGGTGAAGCCTCTTCTCATAGTTTGAGCACTTCACTGGCTATATTGTTGGCTATAGATTTCTGTGTACTGATCTTTTGGGTTTGGGGAGAAGGGCCTAGGCTTAGATGTTGTGAGATGTTGATTAGATACATTTATGTTTGCCTCTTTCTCTAAACACTATCGTGGAGGGTTTGTATTGGCTTAGAGTGTCATTACGCTCAAAGAAAAGGCGGGCTAGAAGTAGAGCCATGTTTACATACACAGAGAGGAAAAGCCGCTCCTTTCTTTTTTAAATGGCCATATCTTTTTTTATTATGAAGACTAGTGGGTGGGGGGCAATTATTTGATCCGGCAAGATGAGGAGAGGAAAAGGAGGCAGAAAATGAGCTTTAAGGTTATTAGTGAAAATTAAGAGGGAGATGGACCAATGTACAAAATGGTGTTCTCCAGATTATAATATACTGGATACATGGGAGACTTTTGCAGGATTCAAGAGTGAGTAGTGATGATGTGAAATCAATTTTTGGATACATGGGAGACTTTTGCAGGATTCAAGAGTGAGTAGTGATGATGTGAAATCAATATTTACTAGTGTTTTAAAAATCGGCGAGTTGCAACGGACTCGCTCGAGTCGACACGGGAATCGGTCATCCCGTGTTGATTCTAGTGAAATATACAAAATCGTCAGACGAGTTGCTAAAGTAAATCGTCCAGAGTCGCCGATTCTATACAGTGAACCGCTGAGTCACAACTTAAAATCGCTTCCTAAAAGCTGACGTCAGCATGCACAACGCGCGTACGCGTGGCCATGCAACAAGAACATCGTCAGGCACGGGCAGGTTTGATCCTTTTATAGTAGTCTTTCTTCCCACATGGCTTCAATGTGGGATAAATTACTACGCCTATTTTGATAGATCCGCTTGATGGTGTACGATGGGATAAAGACTGCGTATTAATTGTATGATGGGATAAAGACTCTGCTATTAAATGAGTTAAAAAGCAGGTGTACGGGTTGGGACCATAGGTTTTAAAGAAAAAATACTGCGGTGTACGCGCGATGGTGTATGTGCGACGGTGTACACGCATCAAAAGTAAGAAGTATGCCCAATGGTAGAAATTAAATTAGATGATAAAAAAAGGAAAAATAAAATTAATAATTGGGTGCCCATCACCTCTATCTTTCACCAAAAAAATTTAAATTTACTTATCCAAAAAAACATAAAAACTCTATTAGGCTATTATCTCATGGGATTATTTTATTATATGATTAATAATTAATTAATTAGTTAATTAGGATTAAAAAATTAGTACTAGCTCATAGGATATTAAAAAAAGCAAAAAATTAATACTAATTCTAGTTTATTGAATATTAAAAAAAAAAAAAGTTTAGAGGATATTTTAAGAGAGAAAAATAACTCTAACTTATACCACTTTAGAATTATTTCAAGTTGTTTATCAATTATCCCACATTGCAAATATGAATTTTTTTAATTTATTAATAAGAAAATATTATATATTATTTGTTAATTTATTTATATTATAAATTTTGTAATGTATTATTTTATCTTATAATTGTAAATAAAATTTTTTAAATTAGATGATATTATAAAACATTTATATTTTTATTTGTATAGTAAAATAATTATAAAATATAAAGTTATAAACCAACAACTTCAATTTTAATATATATTATTATAGTTAGTTAGGTTGTAATAATTTTGGATGAGTAAAACGAATTAATTTTTTTAATCTTATAATATGGAAGTGTTTGTAACTAGTTTACCTCACATTGCAAGTATGAATTTATTTATTTATCTTTTAATTTTATTAAAATATTATTGTAATTTATATTTTTAAATTCTATATTTCTATCCACACTAATTATTATATATTAGATTTATTTATTTGTGAGGGTCATACCCTTGTTTTTTGAATCACATTTATTATAATATTGTAATTAATATTATACTAATTACAATGATAACCAAGTCTTATATTGTATTTATTAATTTATTTATTTTAATTATACAGACAGCCAGATAGAAAAACAACGTCTTAGTAATTACCTATTTTTACAAAGTAATGAAAATACGTAATGCACCACTCTTAAATTTTTTTAGAAATTAAACAACACTATTTTTAGAGATTTTAGTGATTTTTTAAAGATTTTTTGGGACAAAAATTTCTGATTCTGATTGATTCATGATCCGAAACGTCGATTCACTGGTTCGAATGGGTTTTGGGGTGCCTGATCGGGGGCACCGAACCGTTTTTTAAACCACTTATATTTATTGTTTGTGTCTATTAATTAAATTAAATAACTGTTTTCTCTAAATTAATTAGCAGTACCTAGAACTTTTAGCACTCTAAATCGCTTGGGGCTGCCTAGCACTTTTACTAGCATGATCCCAGAATTTTTGGGTATTGGTTATTATTTCTACATCCCCTGCTGCAATATGTTATAATGCAGTTGTGATGCAAGTCAAGAGATGGATAATTCAAACTTTAATGTTTTTTTTTTTTATTTTGATTTTCGTAGATGTAGGTAAACTTTTTATCTTTTATTGGGGTCAATTTTTAGGAATTATTGCATAAGGGTTACGATGGAATTTTATGTATTTTGTGGGTAGGGTGTTCAATTTTTATTTATTAGGATTAACTTGAGTTTTAAAATTTTGCTAGTTTTCTATTTTTGTGGGATCATAGTAGACCACAAGGGGTTCCTAATGGGTGTCCTATGTGGTTTGGGTTAAGCATGAAGGAGAATGAATTTAGGAGACTTATCTTTTAGAAAATCACATAGATGGGAAGTTTTATCTTACTAGACAAGGAGGCTTATTTTTTTAGATAATAAGTTGAAGAAGGTTATCTTTTAGAAAGATAATGAGTTTGTTCTTTTTTTTGTGGGGAGAGTTTTTAGAAGGTAAGTGGTTGTAATATAAAAAACAGCTCCATTGTAATGGGTTGTCTTTTTAATGAATGAAACAGAGTTTTTTAACAATGGAGAGAGAGAGCCTTTCTCCTTATTTTCTCTTGTGGTGCATGGTGGATGCTCGGATCCCCACATTGGTGCTCTTTTTCTTGCGATCTCTTCTCAGTCGATTGTTTTCTTTCTAAAGAACAATTGTAATATTGGTTATTGGCTGCCAGTGATAACAACTGCATTAGTTGCTATCAGAGCCCAGGTTTTCTTCAACAACAAAGCTAGGAATCTGCAACCAAGTATAGGGTTTTCTGATTTTAGGCTAAGGTTTGCCTAATAAGTCTAGACCTTGCTATTTGTTCTTTACCTAGGGTTTATGATTTGGTGAATCCATGGCAGCAAGAATAGGTTGAGGCATGAGTATTCCTATGGGTCCACCTCATGATGAGTGGGATCAGGAGATAAAGGATCTGAGTTGACAAGTTCAAGAACTTACAAGCCGGCTTGTAGGGATCGATTGTGGGTGAAATGAAGTTTTGTTCGTTCAAGATGAAGTTGAGTACAACCCTTTCCAAGATCGTGCTCTGTGGGATGAGTCGAGTAAAGAGGAATATGATTGGAGGTATAGGTGGCACTCAAAATCCATAGATCTAAAAGTAGATATTCCTGATATTGAAGGAAAGTTGCAGCTTGAGGAGTTTATATACTGGTTAAACATAGTTGAGAGGGTCCTTGATTACAAGAATGTGTCAGAGAATACAAAGATACAATTATTGCCATTAAATTGAAGAAAAGTGCTTCGGTATAATGGGAACAGCTGAGAGCAAAGCGAGAGATAATGGGAAAGTCCAAAATTAACACTTGGGAAGATTAGAAAGAAATTAAAGAAAAAAATCTACCTGAAAATTGTCTATTGTCCCTTTATCATACGATGAATAGTCTTAGTTAGGAAAAAAAATGTTGGATTAGTACACCATCAAATTTCATCAGTTGATGGCATGAAGTGATGTGGTTGAAAGAGAAAAACTGTCCCTAGCTCACTATGTGGATGGTCCTATCTTTGATAATGATCCTATCTTCATAGCGATCCTATTTTCCATAAAAAACCAAGTGATCCTATCATAGTGATCCAATTTTGGATGAAGCATTAGATGTAAATGAAAAACTTGGAGTTCCTATCTATGATGAAGAACAAGTTACTAGGGATGGTGATGGTGGGAATGATGGTAATGATGTGGATAGAAGTGGTACAGAGGTTGAAGAGGAGGCAATAGGGGGCATTGACTATAAAGATTTATTTTTTCTCGCCAATGGTGGGGCTGACCTTTCCTGTTTCCAATTTGAAGATTCCATCCACAGTTGTATGCTAGCATTGTTAGTTTGTGCCAAAACCTTCAATAATTGGCTTGAGGATATTTTAGTCGAGCATCTAACCCATGGGTCCCAAGATCAAGCCCTAATGTTCATGCACAATATTCGGGTTGAGAAAGGCCTTGTGTTTAGATAAGAATCCATGTTAACCCATTTCAAAACTCGAGGGTGAGTTTTCTCCAACAAAGGGAGAATGATGCAAATCACGAGATTGATAATTCAAAATTTGTGTTAATTTTTTTATTTTAATTTTCACATATGTGGGTAGACTTTCTATCTTTTATTGGGGTTAATTTTTAGGTATTATTGCATACTGGTTACAATGGAATTTTATTTATTTTGTGGGTAGGGTATTCAATTTTTATTTAATAAGATTAATTGAAATTTTAATGAATGTAGGAGACTTATCTTTTAGAAAATCATGTTGATAGGAGGGTTTCTCTTTTAAGATAGAGAGATTGATTTTTTTAGATAATAAGTTGAAGGTTATCTTTTAGAAAGATAAGGAGTTTGTTGTTTTCAGTTGGGAGAGTTTTTAGAAGGTAAGTGGTATTAATATAGAAACCTATGACTAATGGGTAATGTTTGTTTGGTGAATAAAACAAAGATTGTAACGAATTGAACGAAATGGAGCCTTTCTCCTAGTTTTCTCTTGTGGTGCATGTTGGAGGACGCGGATCCCCACATTGGTGCCCTTTTTATTGCACTCTCTTCTTAGTCGATTGTTGCTCTCTGTGAAACGCGGCTTACTACTGGTTATTGGCTGCTGGTGATCACAACTGTGTCAAGTGGATTGTATCTAGTCTTTTAGGCCGTTGTTTTAAAAGGCGCTGGTTGGCCAAAAGGGGACTCACTAACTAGGCAGACACCTTGATTTCGTGGTGCCTTGTACAAACATATATGCATATATTTATCTACTTTGTGTGTGCGTGCGTGTGTTTAAGGATGATATGGCATCCACACAATTGCACATAACAATTTACTCTTCAATTTTTTTTATACAAATTGAATTAACTTCGATTTTTGGGCATCCACACTTCACAATCAGGCCCACGGAAAAAAAATATAAATGTTAATTTGCAAAAAAATAAATTGATGAACATACCCCTTGAACATTTAGGAGTATTTTTGGTCAATTTATTTTCCACAAATTATTTGCTACATCTTTTAGGTGGCCTAGAGGTGGCATACACCTGCAAAATTTCATCTGGACACTGTACTTTTCCCTGTATATATTGTATATAGTTACATGTAAATCCATAGTATATGCAACAAACTGACAAATTATGTATATTATATAAAGTACATGTATAATCAATTGAGTATTACAAATCGGAAAAGTAAAATTCCATACAATTAATTTAAAAATTATTTCCATAATTTTATCTGGGCAATATCATTGTTTCCAATTTGGATCCCAACTCCTACAAGAGCATGAAAAAGACATTGAAAGACTTCAAATACAGGGAGATTTAACAAAAATGACTAGCCTTTATTGCCCGATCTCTTATCCTCAACGCTCTGAATGAATATTAAATTTTACAATCACCCAAGATCTATGTGTAACCTCTCTTGATACTTCACATTGAATCAACTAAAGAAAAGTTGGATGGGAAATGATTTCTCATAGTTCTTTAAAAATTTCACAATTTGAAGTTTGGATTTTTGACTTGCAAAATGCTGAGGAAGCATCTAGGAGCAGAGTGGGGGTTAGAATGCCCCATTTGCGCCCTCTAAAATGGTTGGAACGAACCATTTTGATTGCGAGTCGATGGTGATTATTGCCCTCAAGGACAGCATGAGATGGGCTCCTCGGCTAAGGCACGAGGCTACTGGCTCAGGCGCTTAGGCTCCTGCCCTGCCTCAAGGTGTCACTTAGGTACGTGATGTGGGTGCTTTTTATAACATTGTTGCACTAAGCATCTTTTTCCAAACTAGCTTGCTTCATAATAGTACAATTCAAAGTTAAATTTGACGTGACAAACCTAGTAATGGTTGGTCTCACATGCTCTTTTCCTTAAGGAGATATTCACATTAGTGTTAACTCCTAGACAGGGTGTTGCATCTAACTTTGGTGATTGTTTTTATTCCATTTAAAAACTCCTTTCTTAATCTTAGTATCTCTTTTAAGATCAATTTCTTGCAAAAAGCTGCTGCACTAGGGTCGGGAATTAAATGTATTTGTTTGGCTGTCTTTTGGAGAGATTTCCATCTTTGGATGTAGACGAGCTTTGTGCATCCTGTAAGTTTCATGCATGTTGTGAACACAATGTAATCATCTACAACAACCCAAATTGCTAATATGTTCTGCTTGCAATAACCTAGAGTCCTAACATTTGCCAATATGGAAAAGCTTCATGGCGCACTCTTGCATGCTCTCTACAAATGCACCTTATTCATTGTCAAAGAAAATACAAACTTTGAAGGGGATTTGGTCGATTGCTTCAGCAAACTCATATTGGCTGAATATCAACAATCTCCTATGAATGATCTGTTTCCAAAGGTATACTTGATGACATTTTTTTGTTGAGTTTGAGTGCTAACGAAGTTCCCTTTTTATTGGAGAATCTGAATTGAATTGATTTTTCCCCTAAAGTGCTCATTGTGCAGATTGCAACTGGATTAATGGCCTCATTTGGTTCAAAATGGACAAGCAAGCCTTCCCTTTTCCTTGATATTTTAAGTTGCACATTGGAATCCTTGATCTGCAATTGCAAGGTAAGATTTTTGTTAAATTCGACCTAATTTATTGCTTACAATGTACTGTTATGAGAATTTGACCTTATATTTTAATTATTTGGTAAGTTTTTGAGTGCATCCTTTTTGAGCTATTGCAATATGAGGGAGCTCTCATTGAGAGAGAGAGAGAGAGAGAGAGAGAGAGAGAGAGAGAGAGAGAGAGAGAGAGAGAGAGAGAGAGAGAGAG